GTGGGACCAGGTGGCTCTTTTTTTCTTTTTTTGTACTGGAGATTGAACCCAGGGCCTTCACACTGAGTTATATCCCCAGACCATTTTTATTTTTTATTTTAGACAAGAATTTGCTAAATTGCTAAGTTACCCGGCTGGGTTAAACTTGTGATCCTCCTGCCTCAGCCTCTCAGAATGCTAGGATCAAGGGGTGCACCACCACATCCAGCTACTCTCTCTTTAAAAATGTCTTGCCTCCTTTTATTACCCCACTTTTCATGATCTCAGAAAGCTGAATAAAAATATATTTTGGCTATCTTTTTAAAATTACACACATGGAATATTTTTAATACGTAAAAAATCCAATAGGTCTTATTCTTTATTTTCTCATTCATATGTCCCTTTTGACTACTAAAGAACCTAAACCACACCATAAGCCAAACTCTCTTCCTCACCTTCCCCACTCCTGCCTCACCTGAAGGGGTTAGTCCCCCATACTTCACTACTGATGGCCTGTGAATTCCAGACTCACCCTCTTTCTATTCCTCACTACTTGGTTCTAGTTACATTCGGCTTTAGGGCAGAAGTGCTGTAGGTAAAGCTCTGCTATTTACTGCCTTCTCTCAGTTCTTTAATAACTAATGAGACTGTGAAAAGGGTAATATACTTTTCTGAAAAATTGGGGAAAAGGTAGAGTGAATTACAATATAAGAAAAAGCATAGAACTGGGAGGTATGGGTCCAAGGTAAAAGCCTTTCAAAAAGGTCTGCTTGGGTGAGCACCATAATTTTTAGACTTGTTCCTACCTTCTTCAAAGTTCACTGTGCTGCCAAGACCCCCCACTCTTCATAGAGTGATCACACACACACACCTTGCCATCGTAGAAATAGCCTATTCCCTATCACAGGACTGATGTACTTCTTCATCAGGCTCTGTGCCTCATCTTCCAGGGCAATTCGCCTGAAGCTGAACATTTCCCCCAAATTTCATGGTTGTAGTCTAGAAAAAGTGCATAAAAGCTTCAGCAGAATAGTTTCAGATTTTGAGACTCAAAGTATACACTCTTTCATCAAACCTTTGCTAATGGAGAAAGAAACTATACTTTCTCTTCCTGTGTGGATCTAGTTGAAAACACAGCTGCACACACACACAAGCACACATGAATTATATATGCACACATAGCACATACACGATACATGCCCTTCTGTACATGTACAAATGCATGAACATCCATGTGCATGAATACACACTACCATACCTTTCCAAACCAAGAACAATCAAGTTTTCTTCAATATCCTTAAATGCAAAGCCTGTAGTGGGTTTTTTTTTGTGTGTTGTTATTATACTGGGGATTTATAGGTATGTACCACTACACCCAGCTATAACCTGTAAATTTTATTTTACTTTTATTTTTTTGTTTTTTTGAGACAGGGTCTCACTTTGCAGTGCAGGCTGATCTTGAATTCACTATGTAGTCCATCCAGGCTGGCCTCAAACTTGTGGCAATCCTTCTGCCTCAGCCTTCCAAGTGCTGAGATTACAGGCATTCGCCACCATGCCTGGCTATATTTTGTAGATTTTAAATTTAGCTCTTCTTATCTTTGATCAAATCAAATTTTTTTTTTTGGTACCAGGAATCAAAGGTCCTTGTGCTTGTGAGGCAAGAGGCAGAACCACTGAGCTAAATCCCCGGCCCAACCGAATCAAATTCTTACCCTGAACTAATCTCTGAAAGAGGGAAGAAGAATGCACCTCCTTTTTATTTATTTATTTATTTTTTCTGGAACTGGGAATTGAACTCAGGACCTTGCACTTGGCAGTCAGGCGCCAAGCCACTGACCTACATCCTTGGCCCTAGCTCTTCCTTTTTATTATCTCTATACAGATCAATCCTGAGACCAGGGATAGAATTTAGTTTTTCATTTATTCATCATCAGAAACTTAAAAGCCTGCTTTTTCTAAGAAGGACCTCTATATAATCATGTAACTATAGGCATATATCAACCTTTACTATTTAAAGTGAACACATAAGTGTATATAGTTCAAGAAATTTTTGCATATATATCCCTATGGCCACTGGTATTATTTCCCTTAGAATATTATCATCACTCAGGAGATTCTCTTGTGCCTTTTCCAGCTGATACCATTTTCCCCAAGTCTCCAAAGTTTTAACTGTTCCATTAAAGCCTCACCATATTTAGGTAGCATAAATCTCACAGGACTGAATACAAGTCATGATCAATCCCTCTCTCAGAGCTTTTCTATTTTAATATCTTGGACTTGTATTTTCAACCATAAAGACATCTCCAATCTAGGAACTGTATATTTTGGATGCATTTCAAATACGACACATCGATCCCTGGGACCAAAACACCAAAACCAAACAACACAACACAAATTGAACTCAATGAATTTCTCCAGTTTGCTTCCTCTAATACTGTTGTTGAGTATCATATACCCAGCCCATCCAAGTCTCCTAGACACTTGAGAATTATTGTAAACATTTTCCTCATTCCTTACATCCAAATATACTACAAGTCTTTAGAAGTTCAATTTCCCAAACTATTCCAGAATACATCCTTTCCTCTTCTACTTACTGCCACTAATTTCAGCCACCTGGACACAATTGCCTCTCAGCCAAGCTTTCAGTCAACAATCTCTTTTCCACATCTTTTGGTCCTTTACTTTCTCCCTAAGGCATCCTTCTGTACTCCTCTTGCCCTCTTCCCAAATAGTAGTCCTTTAATCACATCAATGCACTCTTTAAAAAAAAAATTGTTTCTCCCTGAGGCTTACAGAACTCTATGGCTTTGAATGCTAATTTTCACACTCAGGCCCCTCTCGATTTAATCAACTTCTGATATGCAATCTTTTCTGAAAGAAGAGAAATACATACTGTATGAATTTTCTGTCTTTTAAGCATTCCCTCTTCTTTGGGCATTCTCTGCTTATCTAAATCTTCATAACAATAGCAGTAAAATACTTTATTGTGTACTACTCTGGAATGAGCACTAAGCTAAGCACTTTATATTCATTAAGTGTTATAAGCACTCTTACAAGGAGGAAATTGAAACACGAAATTTGTCCAAGATCATACTTTAAATAAGCAGCAACACTAGGATTACAATTCTGGTCAGTCTCAATCTGTAAACTGAACAGATTTACACACGGCGGCCGATTACAGTATACCATCTCAGGCCATGTATACCTATCTCTAAGCTCTCTAGTCCCCCTTTTCATGTCTCTAACAGAGGCTCTCACCACCATTAGACTGGTTAGCATTAAAATATTCAATTTTTTGCTAAATATTAGCAAAATTCTCTGAGCACGGAACCGGAAAAAGAAGTTACACCGCCACAAGGACATAATAACCTTATAATTGCAAATAGGTATCAGTTTTGGGGGGCAGATCAGAAATGTGCTTTAGGTGTATCTATCATTCATTTACATATGTAATAAATAGTATTTGATTTAGTTACATCTGAGAAGACAGGCTGAGTTATAGTTTCCAGCTGAATGTGAAATTTTCGGCAAGGGCAGAGGCTTAAATTATGTATGTATATTGCATTTCTTCTATTCCTGCGTTGAGCCATCTTTTTCTTTTTTTAATAGAATGATACTATTGACCTTGTCTGTGTAATTACAGTATTTGAACATTACTACAAAAATGCTGCTCTACCTTTATGGACCCAATTAAGCACGGGCCTGAACATTCAAGTCAGGTACGTGTTTCGTTTGCTTTGGTACGCTTTCTCCTTTCTTACGAAGGCTTACTTTTCTTTTAAACAGGCCCCATGTTAGGGAGTGCTAGGCTGGGCTATCTCCCAGACTATCTCCACGGTTGGGTCCTTCGAGTCCTTCTCGGAAGTGTGGGCTCCGCAGAGTTTAAGACGGTTTTCCGTAAACCCGCCGGCCCTTAGGCCCAGGGCAGCGGTCATGCAGAAGGCGGCGAGCGGAAACGGCCAGGGTCGAGGCCTCCTCCGCGGGAGGACCCGGTGGCCTCCACTTGGCCCAGCGGCGGGAACCTCCGCGCGAAGGCAGCAGTTGGGCCGCGCGGGAAACGCGCTGCGGAGCGGGAGTCCCGGGCCTGCCCCGGGTGACCCATCGCCAGGCCTCGTGGCGGGGCGGAGTGTGCTTGTTTCCTGCCGAGCTTCTTCAGAAACGCAGCCCGTGCCTCCTCTCTCACAAGCCGCCTCCGGTTTACGTATTTTTGATGTGTTTTTGAGACCTGAGAGCCGGGGCTAGGCTAGGCCTCAGGAGCCACCCGCCTCCATTCTTAAGACTAGGTCGTAAAAAGGCAACCGCCGTGGGAAACCCCATAACGGCCCGCGACCCGAGGGCGAGAGGGGCGGGCCAAGGCCCGAAGCAGGCGGCTAGGCGAGTAACGGCTCTCGGCGACCCCGCCCGGCGTCCCGCCCTCTTCGCGCCTTCCTATTTTAGCTTCCTAGAGTCTAACCACCTTCCTCTTTAAGGCGGGGCCCCGCGTGGATCTCGCGAGATCAGGCTTGGCGCCGTGACCTCCATGTGGGAGCTACTGCTCTATAAGTAAACACTCCGCGCCGCCTATACTTGGCTCCTTCCTATTTGTGAGGAGATACTGCGCTTCGGACTGGTTCCGATTTCCTCTATTTCTCCACGGGGCTGGGCAGGCGCGCGCGGCTTGGGAGGCGCCGCGGCCGCCTGTCGCCCGGGGTCCGGCGGGTCTCCCCTCACCGTACTCGCACTCGCCTGTCCGCCGCGGAGAGCGGGGCCGCCGGGGCGCGGCGTCCCGAGCGAGCGCAGGGGGAGACAAAGGGAGCCGGGCCCTCTCTCCAGCCGAGATGTGGATCCAGGTTCGCACCATCGACGGCTCCCAGACACGCACCATCGAGGATGTTTCTCGCAAAGCCACGATCGAGGAATTGCGTGAGCGGGTTTGGGCGCTGTTCGACGTGCGGCCCGAGTGCCAGCGCCTCTTCTACCGAGGCAAGCAGGTGAGGCGGGCCCGGGGCTGAGCAGCCGGATGCACCGGGCGCGGGGGCTCGAGGGTGGGCAGTCCCCGAGGCGCAGGGTGCGGGCCGGGCCTGCGAGGCGGGGACCGGGGACCCACCAGCTCCGACCACAGGTGCGCCTAGAAGGCTCGCAGGCGAGGGCGGCTGGGACACAGTGTTCGCCGTGGATTGTTCCTAGCGGAGCGCCGGCTGCGGCCACAGCCTTCGAGGGCCCAGTGCTCCCTGCTTCCCGCGCTCAGCGGAGCCGGGGACGCGGAGGGTGGGGAAGGCGGCGGACGCTGGCGGCCATGCCACGGCGCGGGAGGGGCGCGCTGGCGCTGGGCTCCGCGCTCCTGGCCCAGGGCTCCGATGCTTCCGTGGCCGTGCGGCGCCCCTGGCTCCCGGATAGCAAATGGAAACTCGGGCATTGGTGTCCGGCGCGACAACCGTAGCCCTGTCACCTCACTGTGGAAGGATCTGCAGACGCTGAAGATCCGAGGGATTCCAGAACGTTTGGTCCCCTCCATGAGCGCCTCTACTGGGTTTGAAATCTGTCTTGGGCGAGGTTAGAGACCTGGGCGTAAGGAGTTGTTGATTGCAACCTGGAGCTGGGTTTAAAAAAGCCTAGCATGTAGGTCCATGGATTTTTAGTTCCAGAGTGTTTTCCTTACTCCTCACCTTACAGTATTTCCCGCTTTCAACCTTTTAACACCACTACTGTAGCATAGCCAGTGGTAACTTGAAAGCTGAAGTTGCTTTTGGCCGTGAGGGGTTTGTGGGAGTCTCTTGTAGTTACACGGTAAAGACCAGTCTAAGAATTCCTATCCCGCAAGTATCTTACAGTCTGTACCTAGACCCCCAAACTCATATTTTTCTTGTTTCTGTCTTTTTGTCGTCGTTATTAATCCACCGAAAAAGTCGGCTTTCTACAGTTGATAGACCACAGTTCGGCTCCAGTTCTGAGGTTTGAAATAAATGCAATTCTTTTTGGTGTGGCAGTAGTTTACAAGTCACAAAAGCTTTGGAAGAAAGTTTTCTCCCTTCAAGTATTACCTTTTCAAGAGTGTGTGGACATTTCAGAATAGGTAACAAATTATGCTCTGAGAAAGAGTACCACAAGGAATTTTTTTTATTGCATTGCTGGGGATTGAACTGAGGGCCTTCATACTAGCTACATCCCCGCCCCTCTTTGAAATAGATTCTTGCTAAGTCAGTAAATTGCTCAGGCTGGAGTGGAATTTTCGATCCTCCTGCCTCAGCCTCAGACTCAGAATACTAGGATTACAGGCATGCCACCAGGACCCCGGTAATCTTTTTTTTGTTTGTCTTGGGTTTTTTTCCTATTAAATGTTTTAGTGTTTTTGTCTGGTGTTCATGGCTTGTTTTATACTGATTTCTTGATGTTTGTGATTTATGTATGTAAAAATGTACCTTTATTAAATACAGTGGGCCCTTGACTTACTAAAGCCATTAGTTCCTGAGGGCTGGCCGTAACTCAAGTTGGTTGTAAGTCAATACAGCTGAGACCTGGATTTACCCTGGGTACTTGCTGTAGATAACAAGAGGCAGGTGAATCTTCCATTAACCTAATTAACCCAAGTTATTTGTATGTCGGGCTGGTCTTCTAACTTGAGAGTGCACTGTACTATGTAGCTTTGAATTGCTGTATCTCAAGTGGCTGATGACTTTTTTCCTTTCGGTCACAAGTACACGTAATCCAATTTTGTGATTTTTCATTTTGTAGCTAGGGACATATGATTTCCTGGGATACTAAAGCGACTTCAGTCCCAGAGGTAGAAATGAAGGATGAGAATGTGTTCCTAGGCAGCACTCTAAAATCTAATCATCGAATATGGACATGGCTGCCTTGAAGAAAAGTTAGGATTTGGGTTAAACTCAGAAAAACAGATTTCCAGCAAAAGCAGGAAGATTCTGGTTTCAGATTCTGGGAAAAACTTTTAAGTATAACAACCTTTGTACTTCTTCTCCCAGTACAGTTGATAATTCACTACTTTGATTTTTTTTTCAGCCCAGTGATAAACCAGTGGGCATGAGGAATAGATCTTTGCCGCCAGCCATTGACTTGGAAAAAGAAAAGGAAGACACTGCTTCCAGCTGTGTTCACTTCCTTATGAACTGACAAATAGCCAGTGCTATCTCCATTTCTCCACGTAAAGTGTAATGTGCCTGTAGCAGGCAGCTACTAGTTTGGCATCACAGGGCTGTCTCCATCTTGTAAATGCCTTTGCTCATTAGAAAAAAGGCACCCATTTTCCAAAACATTTTATTGCCACATTCTGAAAAATCTCATAAACCAAATTTATATGTAAGAGTAGTCCCAGCTGCTCTGGAAGGCTGAGACAGGAGGATCTCTTGAGCCTAGGAGTTCAGACCAGTCTGGGCAACTTAGACCTTGTCTCAAAAAATAAATGAAAAATTACAGTATATCAATTTGTACCCTTCCTCATTTATTATGTCTGCTGCTTTTAATCTTTTATGTATCAGACTCGGAAATTTTTTATGGATGCTTAGCACACCTCAAAGTTGCAAGTACATAGTTGAATTTAATAAGACCCCACTGAAGATTCTGATAAACATCAGAATTTTAAAATGAATGTTGAGTGGTTGGTCACGTACTAATTTGTTACTCTTTGAAGTATCCTTCCTGGCTTTGTAGGATCGGCAGTATTAGCTTTGCATAGGTGCCTCATAATGGGTCTATGGAAGCAGAATCGGCATCCGTATTTTGACAAGGTTTTCAAGTGGTCTGTATGCAAATTAAAGAATCTATGTTATAACTACATTTTTGAGAGTCAAAATAGCAGGTAGCAAGTCAGTACTGTGAGAGTGGGGTAACCTGGTTTGATCATTCTTAATCTAGAAGGTTAAGTTTGAGGCGCTGTGGGATTGGGTCTTTAGAGAAGACAAATGCTGGTAGATCTCTAAAGCTTTTGAGAATCTAGAGAGAGCTCTTACTACTTTGCAAGTATTACTTCTCCTTTCTCTTTCTTCCCTTGCCATTAGCCTAGTCTTAAATAGATTATAGATGTGGATCCTGAACCACAGTTTGAGAAAAACTGAGTAATTGCCTTTTGCCTGCATACTTTTTCACATGGAGTGAAAAGTAAAAGTATTTGCCCATTTAAAAGAACATGTATGTATGCTTGTATATTATGTATGATGTGAAAGATACACAAACATTGTTATGCTCTTTGTGTCTTTTGTCATCTCTAGTTTCTTGGGAATGACTTTCCCCTCTGCCTTTTTTGAATGCTGAACTTTGTTTTTTCTTCCTACTTTTCCCTTGTGTCATTGTTGCAGTTCTTCCTGTTTTCTGCGATTTCTTTCAACCCAGTAGAAAGTTAAGTGCAGTCTGACAAAGTCCTAACCCTGCTTTACTAGAATTGAATATCCTACATCCCTAAATTCTAATATGGTTCTCATTTACTTCTGTGAAACATTGATGGATTATAGTTACATACCTGAAGCTCATAGGTGTTTGTAATTTCTAGATGTTCTCATCCCTTTCTCCCCAGTCAGCATAATTTGACAGATAATTTGGAACCTATAGTTGCATTAGATACAGAACTTCAATCCTCTTCAAGTAAAGTATTCCAGCACTCTTCAGTAGCTAAGCTATCCACTATTTGTGAGGCTTGGCAGAATAAAGCTGTGAGGAACTTGATATGTAATGGGTAATAATGACTGTTGAAGAAAGACTGGAAGAATACCTATGAATTAAGGATAAATAGGTAATCGAGGGAAGAAGTCTGTCACAGCAAACATGAAGAAAGGTAGTTATAGCTTTTATTATCCACCTGAAATAAAAATCCCTGATTTAGTACAGTAATAAGCTTATTTTTTATTATAATTGCTATGTTAATTATTAAGGGATAGACTATTTTTCTTTAACTTCTCAAATATCTTATTGTGTTAGGGAGTTGTGAATGGGGATAAACATTAGATGTAAAGAGGGGGAAATGAGCAGTGTTTTATTGGTCCTGGGTCAGGGGAAATGCATAATCAGAACTTTAAAGAGCTTAGTTTTCTTGTTTCATTGTATCATTGAAATAACCAACTAAATTATTTTAAAGACACATAGTAGAGATTTACTTTCCTAGGGTTATCTTAACAAAGTATCAAAACCCCGGGCAGTTTAAAACCACAGAAATTTGTTTTAGTTCTAGAGGTTGGAATTCCAGGTGTCATTCAGCAGGGATGAGCTTTCCAATGACTAGGGGAGAATACTTCCATTTATGCTGCTGTGTTTGCAGGAAATCTTGATTCTTAGTTTGAGGATGTATCACTGTAGTCACATGGCCTCCTTTCCCTGTATATCTTCATTGTGGCTTCCTGTTGTATCTGTTTCTGTCCGTATTTCTTTTTTAAAGTCATTGGATTAGAGGCTTGCCCTAATGACCTCATTTTAACTTAATTAGTCCTTTAAAGACCCTATCTCTAAATAGGGTACATTCTGAGGTACTGGAATTAGGACTTTAGGATATAGATTTTGGGAGGGCACAACTCAGCCTATAACAATAGATTTTGCATTTCTTTGGTCAAAAGTATTCCTTGATACCTCTAAATATGCCCTCATTCCAAATAAGACTACTTCTGAGGTACTTTTTACATTTTTTTAAGGGCTGGGGGATTAAATCCAGAGTTTTTTGAGTGTTGACCAGGTGCTTTCCCACTGAGCTACACCTTTAGTCCACTGAGGTACTCTAGTTTAAGACTTCAGCATACCTTTTGGGGAGACAGTTTGACCTATGACCCTTTAAAAATATGGGGAAGTTACAAGATTATTTGTTTACTATTCATTCCAGAAGTTTTCATGATAAGACTTGATAATCTTTGCAGAAAGATAGAAATGGAGAACTTTAGGCAAGTGGAATGTAGCTATATAGCATAAACAGTAATAGTTATCCTTGCTTGATTTCTTTTTCAGCTCGATTTTTAAAACAATCAGTGCTTCAGAAAGATAAAGTATTTGACTTAATGACTTTATGAACTCCAAGTCTTAAAACTTTCAAAGTTCACCCTTTCCCTCTCTTACAGTGGATTCATTGTTTATTAAAATAAATAAAATTTGATGAGAAGTTAAACCTATTTTCTGGCTAGGTCATGAGGTCACAGCAGCAATGATACACTTTTTTTTTAATGGTTCACAGAGTAGCTTATGCAGTGGTTCTTAAAATTTATTGGGGTTCCGAGAGGATGCTAACATCAGAGGTGATAAAGTAAGAATGTGTTAAGATCACTAATTTGCAGTGCTATAAATTTTATTTTAATAGTTTGGCTTGGATGTTTGGATAACTAAAGATATAGAAAAGATAAATTTTGAGAGAAGCATTTCAATACCTTTTTTTTTTCTAGCTGGAAAATGGATATACCTTATTTGACTACGATGTTGGGCTGAATGATATAATTCAGTTATTAGTTCGTCCAGATCCTGATCTTCCTAGCACATCTAAACAGACTGATGTACAGATGAAACCCTGCTCTAATAGTCCACCTAAAGTAAAGAAAACTTCGAGGGTGGGGTCTGCAAGTCAGCCATCTACATCAGCTCGTGCTTGTCTCATTGATCCTGGCTTTGGACATTATAAGGTATGTTGTTTTCAGACTTGTTTGTTGTTAGAATACAGATGTCTGTTCACTTCTGGATGTTGTGAATAAGTAAACGTTGCCATTTGAAAATAAAGATTGGGATGTTAACTTGGTTTTTTGGCACCAGCGATCGAACTCGGGACCTTGCACTTTCGATGCAGGCAGCAGAACCACTGAGCTAAATCCCTGGCCCAGGATGTTAACTTTTAAAAGTAGACTTTAAAAATCTTTGAACTATATAAAAGTATAGATAAAATGTATATATATAGTTTAAAGAATAATAAACACCTGTGTAATTCGACCAAAATTAGCAGTGCTATTTGTGTATATTCTGGTACCCATGCTCAAGAATTTCTCTATAACTTTCTACCCAGGAATACAAGTATTGGTTGTCCACTCATAGGATACTGCCAAACTAAACTGCCATTTATTTCATTCCATTGGTCTGTTTATCCCTGAGCCCATATTGTTCTAAGTACTGTAGATTTAAATACTTTTTTGATATCTTCCTTCTGTCTCCCAAATTTCATTCTTCCTCAAGGGCATCCTGGTTTCTTGGCAGCTTGGAGAACTGATGTCTTTACAATATTGAGTCTTTTAATTCATGAACATGATAGACTGCTGCATTAATTTAAATCTTTGATATCTTAATGAGTGCTTTATATACCTTGCTTGGTTTACTCCTGGTAGCTTTGTTTCTGTTGCTTTTATAAAAGGTCATCTTTCAAAATAGTTTATTTGCTGATACATAGAAGTATACTCAAAGGCTTTTGAATCTAGCAACTATTTCAAATCCTACTTTAAGAAATTGAATGGCAGTTATGCTTCATCCTTTTTCTGTCTTTATTTTTTGAGATAGGGTCTTGGTATGTAGTTCAGGCTGGCTTTGAACTCACTATGTATCTCAGACAGGCCTTGAACTCATGGTAATACTCCTGCCTTAACCTCGAGAGTGATGGGATTCCAGGCATGTGCCACCAGGCCTGGAGCTTTTCTATCTTTATAATACTTTTTTTTCATCAGGTGGGATAAATTGGCACCTAGACTCTAGTTTTCAAAGCATTTTCAAGATTAAAAATTGGTAGGTAAAATGAATTATTTAAGAAAATGCAAATAGAGATACATTAATTTTGAATTTGTGGAAAAATGCAAACATCCATATGAACGGAAGAATTAAAAATAATGAGCTTTATCTCAAAAATAAAAACAAAACTACATTCATGAATTGTTTAAATCTGTAAGGAATAGATAATTTTGATGTTACCTAAGTTGACCCACAGCATAAAGAAGGGAGGACAGCTTCCTGTTGCTTTTTAAATTTAGTTTAACACTGATACTAAAACAGGAGAAAAGCACATGAGCATCACTCACGTTGATGAAAACCTGAGTTACAGTGAATAGGATTATGATTGTATGTCAAAATTAATACCTTTACCAAATATTGTTTGTCAGTGGAGGTAGTTCATTATTAGGGAATATTTTAGTATGATTTATTATTTTAATAAGCTAAAGAATAACTGCCTGATTTAAAATTTTTTCTCCATCTAAATACAAATTTGATTTTGTTTTGGGGGTAAAAAATATCCCTGGTAAGAGGAACAGATGAAATTGATGGAACAGATTAAACCATGCTTGGCAGCATGGGAAAAATGAAAAATGAAGCATTCCCATTGAACACAGGAGCCAGTCACAGAGCCAATTAATGCTGCTGTTATTTGACATCTTTTTGGAAGAGAAGGCAAAGTTACTTATGGATACCTGGGAAAGCTGGGAAAATGTTTTAAAACATTATGGACAATTAGGTAGTAATTTCAAAACTAATATTTTGATAATAGTTTTCTTGCTACAATCAGTAGTGGGGAAAATTTATAATAAAGAGAATACACAAACTAGACAGTGGTGGTGAACCTATGGCACACATGTTACTTGTTTTTAAGGCAAAAGATGTTATTGTATGAGTTTTTTCCTCTTCAGGTTTAATTGCGGTGTTGGCATTTTGTGATAAGTGGGTTTAGGCATCTCTTATAGATACCTGTACTGGCTTGTTTTTTTCTTGTTAATATAATACCACACACAAAAAAAATACAGTGCCACAGGTGGGGATAAGTTATAAGGAAAAGAGGTATATTTTGGTTCACTTCTGGTGGTCAAAGGGAGAGGGACTACATCTGGTAGTGACTTTTTTTTTTGCCAACAATCCCAAGATGGCATGGGGCAAGAGACAGGCAATGTGTGTGGGCTTTCTCTTTCTTACAAAGTGAGTCTACACATTATTTACTGCTATAGTGGGCATTGAACCCAGGGCCCTGCACATGATAGACAAATGGTCTACTACTGAACTACATTCTTGCCCTTTTTGTATTTTATTTTGAAATAGTCTTGTTAAGTTGCCTAGGCTGGCCTTGAACTTAGTCTTCTGCTTCAGCCTCCTGAGTAGCTGGTATTACAGGTGTGCATCACACCTGGCTCTATACATCCATTGTTTTTATTTTTGGTACCAGGGATTGAACTCTTGCCAGGAAGGCTCAGCACTGCTGAGCTACATTCTGGCCCTCATTGTTGATAGCACCTGCCCTAGTTTTTTTTTTTGTCCCGGAAATAGAACTCAGAACCTTGAGCTTGTGAGGCAGGCGTGGTGCCACTGCTAACTCCCTGGCCAAACCTGCCCTATTTTTAAGAGATGCAATTTAGTTATGTTGTCTAGGCAGGGCTCGAACTCCTGGGCTCGAGCATTCCTCCTGCCTCAGCCTCTTGAGTAGCTGGAACTAGAAGTGCATTATACCTGAGTTTCTACATTTTTAGTATGTCACAATGCAGATTAAACTCCAACACAAACTTCAGAAGGGACAAACCATATTCAAATCATATGTAATATTACCAGTACTCTACATTATTTTTTCCACGGTTACTTTTAAAATTTATTTTAGAGTTGTTTTAGATTTATAGTAAAATTGGGAAGATAGTAGTTTGCATATATCCTACACTCAGTGTCCTATTTATACCTTACATTAGTATGATGTTTGTTGTAACTAATGAACCATATTTCATTAGCTTTTATTTAGTGTCTTTTTTTCTATTCCAAAAGTCTCACCTAGGATATCATACTAGGATTTGTCACATTTCCTTAAGTTCGTCTTGGCTGTGACAATTTCATTTTCTTAGACTTGTTTTTATTTCCATGGAATCTTTGAGAATTGCTAAGGTATTTTAAAAAGTTTTTCCCTGTTAGGATTTAAGTATCATTTTCGACCTCATTAGATGAATTTATCTATTTGGGGGAGGAAGATTACAAAGGTGAAGTGCTGTTTTCATTGCGTCACGTTTAGGGCAAGTGCTATCAACATTCTGTTTGCTAAATATAACCTCCATCAGTAGGAGCTGAATGTTGCTAACACTGTTGTGAACCTCAGTCACCTGGCTGAGGTAGTGCTTGTCAAGTTTCTACGCAGTTACACCCCTCCCGTGCCCCATACTGTGCTCTTTGAGAGGAAGATAGCTGTGTGCAGCTCACATTTAAGGAGTAGGAAGTTACGTATTCACTGATTTGAGGGCAAAGTCTCCACAGAAAATTTGAAATTCTTCAGTATGGGAGATTTGTCTTTTCTCCATTTATTCAGTTATTTTTCTTGGTGTGGATTGATGCTCAAATTGTTCCAGTTTTGGCCTTTGGAAGCTTTGGGAGGCAGGCAGCGGAACCACTGAGCTAAATCCCCAGGCCTATACCTGATTCTTGTGTCCCTTCAACATATCCCCATTATTGTTGGCGACCCCCCCCCCCATTTTTTTCATTCTTTTGCTTGCTTGCTTGCTTGTTTTTGAGTCAGGGTTGCACTATGTAGTCTGGTCTGGCCTTGAACTCACCTGTCTCTGGCTGGCCTCACACCTGATCCTCCTGGCTCTGCCTCCCAAGTTCTGGGATTGCAGGAATGTGCCACAACTCCCATCCTACTCCTCTTTGGCAGTACTGGGAATTGAACCCAGGGCCTTTGCACTGAGCTACATTCCCTGGCCTTTGTTATTTTGAGACAGTCTCCATAAGTTGTCCAGGCTGAGTTTGAACTTGTGGTCCTCCTGCTTCAGGCTCAGCTGGGTGCCATGGTGCAAGCCTGTGTCCCAATAGCTCAGAGAAGCTGAAGCAGAAGGATTACTAGTTTGGGACCATCTTAGCCACTAATTTAGCAAGACTCTATATCAACATAAAGAGGGCTGCAAATGTAGCTCAGTACAAAGGCCCTAGATTGAATTCCTAGTACCACCGCCCAAAAAAAAAGAAAAGAGAAAAAGAAGCTTTGGGGTCATCTTATATATTTCTTGCCTTAGTCTCATAATGAACCATTTGTATAGGGTGCCCTGGTATTTTTAATTGGAGAGTGGTATTAGCAACTGAGATCTGGGTGGTAGGTGTGTTTCTTGCCCCTTGTTTCTAGGGTGTCAAGGGCCTTCAGCAATGCAAGGAAATATGTTTATATATACTAACCTAGCAAACTTCCATGCCTTCCTTCCCCAGTGTACTTCAAAGAAGCATCATGGCAAATTAGTTTCTTCAGTGGGTCTTTGCTTTTTATTAGTGTTTTGGCTGTCAACGCTTCTTGTTTTTAATGGTACTAGGAATTGAACACAGGGGTTCCTGCATGTCAGGTAGGCACTGTACCACTGAGCTACATCCCCAACCCTTTATTTCACATTGAGACAAGAGCTCACTAAATTGCACAGATCTGGCTTCAAGTTTGCGATCCTCTTGCCTCAGCCTCCTGACTACCTGGGATTACAGACATGTGTTGCTACATCTGTTTTTTTTCTTTTACTTAATAGTTATTATGCTTCATATTAATATATAGTATAGATGTTAAAGATTTTTAGCTTTATCAGCAAACCTGGTTTCAAGTTCCAGTTAAAATTCCTTCTTGGGGCTGGGGATTTAGCTCAGTGGTTCGCTGCCTGCCTTTCAAGCAAGGTCCTTAGTTCGGTCCCTGGTACGCCCCCCAGAAAAATTTCTTCTT